ACTGGAGTGAGAAAACACCAACATATTTCTCCTGTTCTGGCCAAGCTGCATTGGCTGCCCATCTGTTTCCGCATTGACTTCAAAGTTCTAATGCTTACCTATAAGGCCCTAAACGGTTTAGGACCTCGATACTTGGTGGAGTGCCTGCTCCCACCAAGATCTACTTGGATCACCCGCATGAGTCAGGAGGTGAGGCTGAGGAGCCTGACACCGAGGGAGGCCCGGAGGGAAAAGACACAAAGCCGGGCCTTCTTGGCGGTGGCCAAATGCCAACTGAAAACATGGATGTACATCCAGGCCTTCCCTCCTGTCAACTACTGATTTCTTTGCTTTGCTATTTATTATTTATTTATTCCTGCACTATTTGTTATTGATGTATGCTAACGTTTTTATGTTTTTTAACTGTTTTGATATTCTGCTTTGGATTCAGCTGCAATCCTGCTTTGGCCATTTCTTCTTTCATTGGAGTGAGAAAACACCAACATATTTCTCCTGTTCTGGCCAAACTGCACTGGCTGCCCATTCGTTTCTGCATTGACTTCAAGGTTCTAATGCTTACCTATAAGGCCCTAAACGGTTTAGGACTGGAGTGAGAAAACACCAACATATTTCTCCTGTTCTGGCCAAGCTGCATTGGCTGCCCATCTGTTTCCGCATTATTTATTTATTCCTGCACTATTTGTTATTGATGTATGCTAACGTTTTTATGTTTTTTAACTGTTTTGATATTCTGTAAGCCGCCCAGAGTGGTAGAATATACCAGATGGGCGGGATATAAATCGAACAAATAAATAAATAAATAAAGCTGTGTAGTTCTTTTATGGTCATGTTTTTTGTGGTCATGATTCAGCTGCAATCCTGCTTTGGCCATTTCTTCTTTCACTGAGTAGTGCAGGTTCATAGCTCATAGTTAAAAGTGGAAAGTATCATAAACAGAAGGGCACAGAAACATTCGGCATGTATCCTACGTCTTCTTTGGCATAATATTTGAGCAGCCTCATCAGATCATGCCAAAGATCCATGACGGTCTCTAGAACACACAATTTGTTCCCTTTCATGCAGAACACAGAACATGTATATGGGTCCTTTTTGAAGAGAAAGGAGGGGAGAGAAATGTTTTAAATGAATTAAATAATAAATATACCATGGATATATTTCAGCGCTGTCTACCTCATATCCACTAGAGCACTGGTTCTTAACCTTGGGTTACTCGGGAGTTTTGGACTGCAACTCCCAGAAGCCTTCACCACCAGCTGTCCTGACTGGGGTTTCTGGGAGTTGCAGTTCAAAAGCATCCGAGTAACAAAGGTTAAAAACCACTGCACTAGAGTATGTTCTCAGATTCTGACAGTTGCATTAGAAATAAATCAAACTTGCTTCTAATTTCTTTCTTTCTTTCTTTCTTTCTTTCTTTCTTTCTTTCTTTCTTTCTTTCTTTCTTTCTTTCTTTCTTTCTTTCTTTCTTTCTTTCTTTCTAGAATGTCTATCCTTTTCACAGCTCAAGCTCCCCTTATTCCCTTGCTGCTATGTGAACATGCTGGGAAAACATCACCTGCTAAATGTTAGTATATTGTGCACTTACTAGTGTGGACCCCTCTAAAAAGGACATTGACTACCTTATTTCGAATCAAATATTCTTAATCCCCCCCATGCCCTCAATACTATTGCTTGCCACTATATGAGTGGGATACAAGCCTAAAAAATAAATAGTTAAATATTTTGCAGGATTTGTCCTTAAGTTAGGAAAATAACATTTACCCACACAATATTGTGTAACTTGTGTTATGTATGTTACAAATAAACTGTGTATGGGCGCCCTACCGTAGCCTGATCAACATGATACTTTACAGTTTCTCAGTAAACTATGAAATTTGAAGAAACACCCAATTTCAATTGATAGAAATGGAATCATGGGTATATATGCTGGTATATGATCAGGGTCTGCACACACAATAATCCCATGACGTCAAAGTCTTTTTAACAGAAAAGCACAGTCTGTGTAGCTCCTGTGGAATGCCTTGCATGTTTATTAAGGGATAGAATAACCACATCAAGGACACTCTTAAGGTGGCCTATAGTTAGACTACTGGCATGAACACATCCTTCTTAAGAGAGGTGGCATCCAGACCATGCCAAATGATTCAGGTTTCATTTTGCCCTCAGTCAGTTGTTTCTTTGCATGGCTATACTCAAGTAATCCAGGCTGCATCAGGGCCCCACTTTAACAGGGATTCCTGCTTCCTTCTCATACAACCAGAGCACAACCGTAACTGTCAGGGACTCTCAGAATAACTTGCAAGGGTGAAATGTTGCAAAAAAAAAAAGATATTTGTTTTTTGTCTTTTCTTCTTTGACAGATGTTAGCAAAAGAGTTGAGTGTTAAAAAGGGTCTGGAGTGACAGAAAATTGTTCTGCCCCACAGACCTGCTGTGAAACACCCTAGTTTTCATATTTTGAACCTCCACATCCCTATTCCCATTTTGTAGGTGACCTCATCCTGCGGCACGGTAGGGATAATGGAAAAGACTCTCGGGTCGTGAGCGATGTGAGGAGTATTGAGAAACTACCCAGGGATTATTCGTAACAGGACAACTACTGCTGGCATCATACACATAACATGTTCACAGGCAATGTTATCTCTCACATGTTGCCTTGGGGACCTAATAGATAGATAGCAATGTCTTTTTCTCCATGTTTTAACGTTAACGGTAACTTTTTTAAGAACGTGTAATGAATAAGATTTACATGACTTTCAAAACATTGTTTTAAGGACCATGGAGGGGGCATGTGTTGGCTATTTTGGACCATCTTTTCTATCATTAAGATTTTGCTTAAAATAATAATACATGGATAAATACATTTATGAAATAATAATTTAGATTTACTTATAAAATAATGAGTAACAGTAACAGTAATGTATTATTGCGGTGTGTTTTTTAAAGTCTACTACTAATCCTGTCCTATTTGGGGTTTTTTAAAATGACTGTTTCAAAATACCACTTTTGGCTCCCTAAATTAAAGCTCAGTGGAGAGAAAATGCGTGTTGGATCCCCTATGGGGAGAAAGGGGACATATAAATAACTTAAATAAATAAACATTGTCTCTTTGTGGCAGAAGAGCTCCGCACCCCCCACCCAAGTGCTGGACTGTCCCGAGGGAGTTTGACAGAAGAATGGAGTCTATGGGGATGGAAGTTGGAAGTCCCTAAGTGTGTTCATCCATTTGCACGCCTGTTCTCAGAAGACCTTGGCAGGAAGTAGGAAATGCCTAACTCCATAAAACTGGTCATCCGGTCTATTCCCCTGCGAAAGGTAGATTATTCTGGGTAGCTGAACCCTACACGGACGCCAAAATAATGAGAGGTAAATGTTACAGAATACTATTTCTGGAAAACTATTTCCTGCTGGAAGATATAGCATTGGTATAGTTCTGTATTTCATTTTTTGTTTGTTTTTCCTTTTTTTACTTCTAGCTGCATGTATTTGTATTAAAACTAGTGGACATCTAGTCCCTGAGTGAAAAGAGAAAAAAGAAAAACACAAGGCAAAAAGGCAGTTCCCTCCTCTTGCCACCAGATGTCACTATGCATGGATATACGGTAGTTTTAGATGAGGTAGGCCTGTCAGTCTGTACTAGCATACCAGGCAGAAAAAGGAAAGGAAAAGAAAAAAAGAAAAGAGACCAAAACATTGTGGATCCTTGAAGACTGATATATTTTAATGTGAGCTTTTGTGGACAAGTCCACTTACTCAGACATAAGAGTGGGACCACATGGCAACTATTTTTATGTTTTTATACATGACCTCAAAACAAAGAGATTGTTTATTTCCTGGGCACAAATGGTTGATAATGTAGCATTTCACACCCGGATGTTGACAACCTGGAATGTGTCCAGAGGAGGGCAACCAGAATGGTCAAAGATCTGGAAGCCATGTCCTATGAGGAGCGGCTCAGGGAGCCGGGAATGTTTGTTGTTGTTTAGTCGTTAAGTCGTGTCCGACTCTTCGTGACCCCATGGACCAGAGCACGCCAGGCCCTCCTATCTTCCACTGCCTCCCGGAGTTGTGTCAAATTCTTGTTGGCTGCTTCGCAGACCCTGTCCAGCCATCTCGTCCTCTGTCGTCCCCTTCTCCTCTTGCCTTCACACTTTTCCAACATCAAGGTCTTCTCCAGGGAGTCTTCTCTTCTCATGAGATGGCCAAATGGGAATGTTTAGTCTTACAAAAAGAAGGGGAAGAGGGGACACGATAGCCATGTTTAAATATTTGAAGGGATGTCATATTGAGGAAGGGACAGGTTTGTTTTCCACAGCTCCAGACACTAGGACAAGGAGCAACGGTTTCAAACTACAGGAAAAGAGATTCCACCTGAATCTCAGGAAGAATTTCCTGATGGTCAAGCTGTCCAGCAGTGGAATAGGCTGCCTCGGAGTGTGGTGGAGTCTCCTTCTTTGGAGGTTTATAAGCAGAGGCTGGAGGACCATCTGTCAGGAGTGCTTTGATGGAGTTCCTGCATGGCAGGGGGTTGGACTCCATGGCCCCTGTGGTCTCTTTCAACTGTGATTCTATGATTCTATGAAATCTCTGTTTCCAGTTGATAACCAGATGTTTCTGAGGCAACTGACTATTCTATTTTACGGTATGGCATTCGAAGCACTTCCTTACAATATGACACACTGAATACTTTTATCCTTTCTTGCATCTTCTCTAGGTTCAATGACTGATATAAGAAAGGAAGCCAAATAAACCTAAAAGCATGTCCAAATTACTTCCACAAAGAAAATGAATCTGTTCAGGTACCTCTGTGTTTTTTTTTTATTTTGTGGGAGAAAAAATATTCCTACCAGCCATTTTGTAAGGCCAGGATTTTATTTATTTATTTCATTGATTGCTATCAGCTAAACTTTTGTTTCCTGTCATGAATGTATTATTTTCTTCATTTAGATAATTGCCAGGAAAAAGTCTAATGCTGGATGAAGTAGTCGATGCAAAACCTAGCTTTCCATTTCCACCTTTGCCAGGCCTGAGTTTCAGTGGGACGAAAATGAAATAGGTGAAGGAAGAGATAAGAGTTTCTCTGTGGCTTTCACCCCGGTACCATCAGAGTGTGAGTCCTATGTAGGCAAAGGTGTGTTTGTGTGAGATTGTGGGCCCAGAGATTTGAAGAAGGAACTAAAGTTTAAGCATTAAGAAGGAAAACAGACTTTCCCTTCACCGGCAACACATTTGGCCCTGACAGTCAAATTAGCCTTTATGGGGTCACCCAGTAATTCTAAAGGAGTTTTGAGGTTTGGCGGGGGTTCTGTTCTAATTTCCCCAAAATTTGTGCTCCGATTCAACAACAGAAAAAAATAAACTGAGAAATGCTTCTCAAAAACCAAGCTGACTGTCAATAACTGGTTTTGAGCAGTTAATATATCTCTGGAAGGGACTGGCAAGTTAGGACGAGAAATTCCCAATCACGTTTGAATTATAATTACGAATTACAGTACATATTGATAACCTCACAAATAATTTGAGGTCTGCAAGAAACAGCCTCGCAAGTTTAGAATAGGAGGAGTGCACTGAGCCAATATTACCTCTCTCGTTCCCTGGAATGAGCTACGCTGTGGACACATAGAGGAGCAGAAATACTAGTGGCCTTACACACCAAAGAGTTCAAAATAACTAAACAGTCAGCCGCAAAAGCAACATATTTGGTCTTTTACCATTTACTTTGTGTGATGGCTTTCTTTGTGCCAAATGGAAAATTATTCTGTTCTTACTCAGAGGAGCTGTAGTATTGAGTCGCTTCTATAATCTATAAAATCTGAGCGAAATGTAATGAACAGTGCAGCTAACCAAACCAGTTACAGCTAGGTGGCATCATTGTCCAGGGGGCTATTAACACAGCGCTATTGCCTGTAGGTTTGCACATAGATTATAGCTGGTTCTTTGCTGCAGCTTTAGTAAAGAACAAATAGAACAAAGAGGATCTCTATAGCTTGCATATTATTCTTCCAAGAGATTGTTGCAGCCACTTGTATCGTTATTGGTAATCCCACCACTATATGGCTCTAATAGTTCAATGCTTAAATTTGTTTTTATTCCTTTTTTTCTGTTTCATGGTGATTGTAAGCCACCTTGAGCACTAACCAGCAGTAGAAAACTGGGGTAAAATTGTATATAAGAACAACGACACAGGAATAACATTCACAAAGCATTTATGCATAGCATAGTTTATTTTCTATCAGGATAGCTCAGGGAAGATTACAGGATTTCTATAGTTTTCCATCATCAACTTTGGGGAAATTATGCATTTTGCATACATTCCCGCCTTCAGTTCAGTGAACTCACTCTTCACTTTCTATTACCACCTGTCAAAAAAACCACAATCATTTAAGTAGTGAGAGAACAGCTACAGCCACTATCATTGTCCAAATGATTATAAGCTAAATGTAGAATTTGACATAACTTATCTACATATCACAGAAAGCCTTGCTTCATAAATTGCAGTGATGTGTGCTAATATTGTTCCCCTCACTTTAAAACACCAAAAGCAAACAAACAAAAGGCCTGGATAGAAACATACCCCACTACAGGAAAAGTACAGTACTGCTGTATTGATCGTGTATCAGTTTAGTAACCTGAGATATAAATGAGCTTTTTGCCCATCCACGTGTTGTTCCCTGCTCCCTTCACACACTACCTTGCACATCTGAAGTTACCTGTAGTTTCCTCTTAGGTCCATACTGGAAAATCGTAGTTGAACAACCTTGGAACAAGCCAAGATTTGAAAGTTGATTTCAAATCCTGGATAACGCCATTTTTAATATTTTACAATTCAGACATAATGTTTGCACCAAAGGAGTGTAGTAGTTGCATGGCAACTGTGAGACTTGTTCTATTTAACAATACATCTATAAAAAGTAAAAGACTTTACATGGGACCTGAAAATCATTAAGGAAGAACAAGCAGTTCCCCTCAGTTTTTCTATAGCTTCCAAAAGTTTGACATGGGGGCTTTTCCAGATTTTGCATGTGACTTGCCCATTTTACAGGGGTACCTCATGGATTGTGGTGAGGGGATAGCTCACCTCAAAAGTTATGAGCCCCCTCACTGGGTTGTAAACCACTTCTGCCATATTATCTTAGTAGTGAAAGTGAAACTTAATTTTAAGCTAAAACAGTGGTTCTTAACGTGGGCGATAATGCCCCCCAGGGGGCGATTTCATTTTTCAGGGGGGCGGTAGAACGAAAAGGGGCGGCGTGGGGGCGCGGGAGCAGAAGAGGGGCAGTAGGGGGGCGCTGGAGCAAGCCAAACCTGTGAAGATGGCTGCAGCCTTTTTACAGTGTGCATGAATATATATTTTCCTCCAATTCTAATTTAGTTTCAGACTTTTTGTCTTGAAATTTTTAGTTCCTGCATTTGTTTTTATGCCCTTTTTATATTTCTTTTTGCGTCTTAAAATTCACTTGCAACTAAATCATTAAATGTTACTTTTTGGGGGGCATTTCATTTTCTTGGAATTTAATTTTGTTTTCAGGGGTCATTGGATTTAAGTGTCTTAAACAAACAAACAAATAAATAAATAAATAAATAAGATATCATCACTGCGGGGAGGGGGGGCGATGAAAACTTCCTCAATGGCTCAAGGGGGCATTTCTTTCAAAAAGGTTAAGAACCACTGAGCTAAAACACCATGATAAAGTAGGGAGAAGTGATCTGTCACTGAATTTTTGTGCATAGAAACCAGGCTTCTGTAGAGGGTTAAAAATATGGTGGGGGAGCACTTCATCTGGTCATCTGGATAATACACCTTTACCATATGAGCACCAGTAGCAATTCCCATGAAAGCCTTGGCAGTCTCTTACGTGTTTCCATTCATTGCCGCAGCCCTTATTACTAAATAAAAATTGCATCTTTCAGCTTGCAAATCGATTGCCATCTGACACAAGGGTACACTCACCTTTGTGGATGTCATTTCTCTACTCCTTACTCGGAGCTTATTGACCTGAGATTCTGCAATATCCGCTCTTTCTTCAGCCTCTTCCAGCTCATGTTGTGCCTTCCTAAATTTAGAGAGGTGAACATTGGCCTGTTCATCCTATAGCCAAAAAAAAACAAAACAAAAAAACAAAACAGAACACGTAGGAAAAAGTAACTCAAAAGATCAAACTATAACTCCAGTTGCAGGCAATTGGGATTTTGTATTTCCTTTCAAAACCATGAATTAGGATGTTTAAACAACTCACAGACTCCTCTGCTTGTCTCTTGTAGGTTTTGACTTTCAGTTGAAGCTTATCCACCAGATCTTGTAGCCTAATCACATTCTTTCTGTCCTCTTCACCCTAGAAAAGTGGTGGCCTGTTAGCTGATATATATGTTTATGTCAAGGGAAGGAAGGCATGGGAGGGAGGCAGCCTGCTTTTCCTCACCTGGAAAGTCAGTTCTTTGACTCGCCGTTCATATTTGCGAATACCTTTGATGGCTTCCGTGGCTCGTTTCTGCTCTGCCTCTAGTTCAGACTCGAGCTCTCGGATCTAGGAGATTTGAGACATGATGATCCGGCTAAACTGATATAGTAGAGGTCTTTAAAATATGCCCTCAGTCCCCATATTTACCCTGGCCTCCATTTTCTGGATCTGTTTCTTCCCTCCTTTCAGGGCCAACTGTTCTGCCTCATCCAGACGAAGCTGCAGATCCTTCACTGTCTGATCCAGATTCTTTTTCATTCTTTCCAGATGAGCACTAGTGTCTTGCTCTTTCTTCAGCTCCTCAGCCATCATGGCCGCCTTGAAATATATCAGGAGTAAATTAAAAGAAACAAATATTTAAAAGAGCACAGCCACCACAAAGGACAGTTCAGCAGAGTTAATAAAGTTGGAGTAATGCTTCTGAAGGATTAAATTAACACTTTGTCAAACTACTGGCTTTTCAAAAAATAATGCATGGAATCATATGTGATTTTCCAATAACAATGGCACAGAGGAGATTGTTATAGTACTGTACAAACAGTACATACTGTACAGCAGAGGTCGTCAACCTCTGGTCCGCAACCCGGTGCAGGTCCGTGGCCTGAGCCGGACCAGGCCATGGAGACAGACTTCCTGCCCCCCCCACATGCACTCCCCTCCCCACAGCTGCTTTGCATATGCATGCATGTGCCAGCACCGGTGTGAGCGCTCCCCCACCCCTTCACGCATGCATCCAGCACCTGCCCATGTGCCCGAGAGAGAGAGCATGCACGCACGAGCGTGGGGGGGTGTGACCCACCTTCCTCAGAGGCTCAGCCAGTCCGCGGTCCTGAAAAGATTGGGGACCGCTGCTGTACAGTATAATGTGTTTGAAAGACACCCTTCAGACACAGACACATGGGAATAGCTTTTTAGAGAGACAGCCTAAGTCGAGTGGAGTATGAATGTTATGACCATTGTTGTGACTACAGTGAAGAGCTGCTCAGAGAGGTATGTCCTCCCTGGACACATCAGATTTCATCTCACATTGGCAGCTAAGCAGAGCATGGCAGGATAGCACATGGATAGGACTCCACTAAGGAAGACCAGGTATCTCCAAGGAGGTCTATGAAAAGAATCCTTCCCAAAGACCTAGATAGCATCTGCCAGTCAGATTTCACAACATTGGCCTAAATGGAGCATTGGTCTGACTCAGTGGAAGGCCGCTTCCTATGACATTTTGAATAGACCCAGTTAGGCCCACGGGGTATGAACATATCCATAACTTGAGTAGGACATGGTTCGGGGAGGGGGTGTTGGCTTCTGTACAATTATAGCAGTGACTGAAGGGTACCTTGAGTAAAGCATACACATCTCCAACTGTTATATGATAATTACCTATAATGGCCACTAATTTTGCTTACAGACAATCTGTATTTTAAGTACCTGGCAAAATTCAATAGACACAACATGGGAAATTCACTGATGGGGAAACAGCATGATTTGTAAATGTCAAGACCAGGAGTTTAAGAAGACTATCCTGTGAAATTATGATCCTGTGAAGCTATGTTTTGCCCCACATGTTCTGCCATATTCTACATAAAGTTTTATTATCCAGGATTTCTCACACTAAAAGGACAGCTGAACGCTTAAGAAGAGCTGAGGGAATGCAGCTGCAGAGGCAGAGGGGCACACTGATCAGAATGTAGCCAAGAGGGCATTGCCTCAGTGACAGGAGTCATTTTCTATCCATTCTGTTTTGCTTTTGCTTTTCTCCCAGGCTGCTGCTCATAAACTCCTTTATCAAACCTTTCCCCAAGATTATTGTGACTTATAAAAGTACTGGCTTTTAAAAATTATTTGTCTTCAAATTTGTCCATGTTCAACTTTATCTCCCATAGCATCATAATGTTGTCTGCCTTCATACAATAATAATACAACCTTACGCTGATTTTCCAAGGAAGAGCAAGATATACAATAAATGCATTGATCAAGGGCGAGGCACTTTAGGTTTCCTGCCAGATATATGGCTTGCCATGTGGAACACTGTGTCTTCCCTTGTCATCAGCCCTATTATTTCCTGTGTCTTTCTTCAGTAGAATACATTCAGTAAAACAGCCTGTTAGCATAAGTTCTCACTAATAGTAACAAAGATTTGTGGCAATAGTTAAGGAAAATAAAACATGTGCTTACATCTGTGATTGCTTTCTTTGCTTTCTCTTCTGCATTTCTGGCCTCTTTAATGGCATCTTCCACTTCACCTTGAAGTTGAGCAATATCCACTTCCAGCTTTTTCTTTGTATTAATGAGACTTGTGTTCTAAAGAAGAGACAATGGAAATATGTTTGCATCCTTTCTGCTGCCATTGCTACAAATCAGAGTTGCTGTACCGCTAGTTACCACATGGTGGGACTAGTGAGCTACTTGTGAACTTTCCTGCAGCAGCTGGCTGGATGACTCCTGATCACAGAGCACTGGGTAATAAGAATTTAATCCAGTAAAGCAAGTTCTCATTTGTTACAGTGACAGTCTAGGCCATACCTGTGTGTGGAGGAGCTGCACACGCTCGGTGGCATCAAGAAGCTCTTGTTCAGCAAGTTTCCTTCCTCTTTCTGTCTGTTCCAGAGCTGCCCGGAGCTCCTCTATCTCAGCTTGCATCAGGTTAGCCCTGCGCTCCACCATGGCCAATTGTTCTTTCAGATCTTCTTGGCCACGGAGGGCTTCATCCAAATGCAGCTGTGTGTCCTGAGTACCCAGAAAATATGTTCCTAGTTGGATTATTTGTTAGGGCCATAATTTGTATTATTTGTGTAAAGGATCAGTTGGCAGATACATACTTTGAGTTGCCCTTGGACATTTCGTAGTTGTTTCTGCGTTTCTGCTGCAAGGCGGTTGGCATGGCTCAGTTGAACTTCCATTTCATTGAGATCTCCCTCCATCTTCTTCTTAATCCGTATGGCCTCATTCCTGCTCCTTATTTCTGAATCTAAAGCCGTCTGCATTGTTTCCACCGTTCTGAGATGGTTCCTCTTCAACTGATCTATTTCTTCATCTTTTTCAGCAATCTTTCTGTCAATCTCAGATTTCACCTGAGTTAACTCGAGCTGAACGCGAAGAATTTTGGCCTCTTCATGTTCGAGAGCTGCCTGTTGAAATGAACATTGGAGGATGAATGGAGAAATTCAGATATTTTGTTGCAGAAACAATAGTGTGGGCCTGTTGTTTGGACCATGGACCACTGCAGAGGTGGACTAATGTGTTCTTAAAGATGGCAGTTAGATGACATCTGTACTAGAGTGAACAAGGACGCCCACACAGCATTCCTACATACAACTTTTATGCCCCTATCAAGTGGCTTCTGCTTCTCTGATGTAAGTAGAATTGGTCTACTTTGGTTCGTCTCTGTGATGTCTAGGAATGGATCAAAGGAAGCCTTCCTCTTTTGCCTCAAAATTTTGCCTCTGTTGTGAAGAAAGCTGCTTCATGATAGAGTCAAATTAAATGTTTCCTCTGCTTCATGGAAGTGTTTAATTTACAAAGGCAGTGTGAGGAGGCTGTCTTTAGAAAGCTGAACCCTCCAGTGCAACCACACCTCCCTCCCTCCCTCCTTCCCTCTCTTTGTATGTGTGTGTGTGTGTTCTCTCTCTCTCTCTTCTCTCCCTCCCTCCATCCCTCTCTTTGTATGTGTGTGTGTTCTCTCTCTCTCTCTCTGTGTGTGTGTGTCTAAGTGAGTGTGAGTGTCTGCCTGTCTGTGGCTTTGATTTTTAAAAGGGGTAAGCAAAGCAGCAGCGGTCGCAGGAGGAGGATTTTTGTTTGCTTTTCTTGACTGGCTCTTTTAGAGAAAAGCAATCAAAAATCCCCTTCTGGCAGCCAGCTGGTGGGAACAACATTTGAGTGAAGATCATACCAAATGGCATATCAGACACAGCCAGCTGGTGGGAACAACATTTGAATGAAGATCACACCAAATGGCATATCAGACCTCCTAGAAACCCCATTTAGCCAGATCCAGCCAGATCGAAAACGGCATGTAGTCAAGCCCTAATATTTCTAAAGTTGTCTCCTCCTTACTCTTACCACAATGTAATAAAGCATACTGTACTTAGATGAGCACCTGTTATACAAATTAGCACTAGAGTAGAAGATAAATGGAGAGGTTTCCACAAAAAGCTGGTATGGTAATGATAGAAGAGAATCACATCCCCACTTCGTTTTTTGACTGAGGGTGTTGTTCCCATTGTGCTCCTTTTTCAAGCAAGTGGTTAGCTCCCCCTCCCACCCAACACAAGATCTGTAGGAAAGCAAAATGTATTACTGTTTACATTCCCTCTCTCCTCCATTCTTGACATCTTACTTCTGCTTCCTCCAGAGCCATCTGCATGTCAGATTTTTCCACCTCTACCTGCTTCTTGGCCTTCTCGAGTTCATGAATATATTTGCCATTTTGAGCAATTTGTTCTGTAAGATCAGCTATTTCCTCTGGAAACATTTGAAACATAAAAAAATAGTTGATTAAGTGAAACCCAAAAGAACAGAATACTTCCAGCATTAAATATATTTTTACACACACACACACACACACACACACACACACACACACACACACACACACACACACACACACACTTGAAGATCTGTTACAATCAATCACAAACAGGCATGAATAGAGGTAAGACTGATGCCACCTTCTGTCAGCTTCAGGAATATCTGCTGTCTCCCTTCTTGAGAAAAGAAGACCGAGGGGTGATATGATAGCACTTTTCAAATATTTGAAAGGCTGTCATTCAGAGGAGGGGCAGGATCTGTTCTCGATCATCCCAGAGTGCAGGACATGCAACAATGGGCTCAAGTTAAAGGAAGCCAGATTTCAGTTGAATATCAGGAAAAATTTCCTAACAGAGCAGTACGACAGTGGAACCAGATACCTCGGGAGTTGGTGAGTGTTCCAACATTGGAGGCATTCAAGAAAAACTTAGATAATCACCTGGCAGATACGCTTTGATTGTATTCCTGCATTGAGCAGGGATTTGGACATGATGGCCTTGTAGGCCCCCTTCCAACTTCACTTTTCTATGTTTCTATGATTCATAAAGCAGTTTTCTGTATGTACATACAAGATATACCAAACATCCACAAAACATAGTAAGAGAACTTTACAGGCACAGACATTCAACAGTAAATCCCATGTGCATAAAACTATTTTTCGCAAGCACAGGAAATTCTGTCTAATCTATCCATAATGATCAACTAGTTTACCTGTTATAAGTGTCTGTGGAAGATATTGCTAAGGATGACTAGAATTGTTTACATGGACAAGTATGCACAAAATTTCACATATTTCACAATCCAAATATGTGAAATGAATCCAGTCCATTATTGTTGCTAATACTTGCTATGAATCCTGTTTAAAGTAACTGGCATTTCTAAAAACAGAATCACTAAAGATGATTTCTCCAGGGAAGCACATTTGGCATTTACAGCTCCAACTTTAAGACACCTTCCATCTCTGACTGGTTCTTGAAGCCAGAGAAAAAAGACCTGACCACCCTAATTACTAAGATAACTATGAGGTTGGTAATTTCAGAATGTATGTTGTCTTGACTAAATAGCCCATATTCCTGCTTTGGTTGTCTCTTGGTTTTAAGCACACAGTTAAGCCAAGATGGGCAGTTATTTAATTAGTGCAGCTTTTCACAACATGGAGGTGCTGGGGTGATACAACTGCTAAAGGCACAGATGATAGCTAGCTACCTTTGCTTCCTCCTGAACCCCTCTGGTGCTTGCTAGAGTCAAAACACTAACTAATGAAAAAGAGCATGACACTTACGCTGTAAGTTCTTGTTTTCTCTCTTGATGGTTTCAAGATGATCTAATGTTTCCTCATAAGCATTCTTCATTTTGAAGAGTTCTGTGCCTAAAGAACGTGATTCCTTTAAGGCACCTTCCAACTCTGACTGGGTCTCCTCATACTTGGTCTTCCATTCTGACAAAATCTTAAAATCCAGCGTGTTTAAGTTAGTGAATGGCCATATTTCTTGTGCTTTTATCTTTTCTTTGCTAAACTGGCTGCGTGCTCTCCGTAGCATTTCTGAATGTCATTAGAAAACAAACTCTGACAGTTCATGTGGGGTTACTCTGCCTTCTCTGTCAGAGACAGACCAAAAATCCAGACAATCCCAGAAAGCCTTAGGACCCTCAAACAGCACAAGACCAGCTTCTTTTTTTAACTGGAAGCTTGGCCAGAGCTAGGTCATGGAACCTTCAAGCTAGGTCCATCTCCCAGTGAGCAAAATGTAGGTGCATCTGAAGATGTAAATCTAGGTCTTTGGGCTGGAACCCCTAAAATTCTGTCTGGGGAATTCTTGGAGAGTTTTGGGATTTGGAGTCCAAAAAATCCAAATGATTTGGATTTGAATCTGGGTTGCAAGAAACTTCATTTCATTGCATATGTCATTTTAGTGTGATACGTAATACATATAATTGTTTATATATATAAACAAGTGGTTGCTTATATTTGGAGAGTCAAATGTCCTTCCATTTCTCTTGGCTTAAGATGAAGCCATGGTGCATAGTTAACACTCTTTCTGCCGTCCCTAAGGCTGAAACTACTGACAGCCATGTAAAATCTACCTTGTCAAAATTCCTTTGCTTCTTGTCCAGAGCAGCTGCTTGTGCGTTTGCTCTCTCAACGTCCACCATCAAGTCTTCCACCTCACATTGCAACCTTTGCTTCGTTTTCTCCAGGGAAGCACATTTGGAATTCACAGCTTCAACTTGCTCTTCCGCTTCCTGAAGACGCTGAGCAAGTTTTTTCCTTTAAAAAAAGAGAGAGTAACAGAGATTTTCCATTAGCTAATTAGATGATCATCCATTTGTCTTGTGATATAGCTTAAACATCTACATTGTTCTAAAACTGATTGACTAGCAGAGCTTCAGAGATTCTAAGTTGCCAGCAGTGAATAAATCCTCCATGCTAAGTAAATATGACTAAAGGCAAGGGTGGGTAATATCTTATCTATCTACAGTATCTATCTATCTATCTATCTATCTATCTATCTATCTATCTATCTATCTATCTATCTATCTATCTATCTATCTATCTATCTATCTATCTATCTATCTATCTATCTATCTATCCCGCCCTTTTAGACAAAGTCTACTCCGGGTGGGTAATATCTTTATTAGACCACTAAAAACTCAAAGACATTGATTAGCTTTCTACCCTGTGTTGTTCTTCATCAGGCTGGGCACCACAGAGCTGTGGGTGAGGCAGAAAAAGGACAAAAGTTCCAAAAATCATGGCCAAAAAAAACACACCAAGCTCCTCTGCTAAAAGTGGGTTTCAAAATGGAGACTGTAGACTCAGAACAGAGATGCAGGTTTCAGATTCTGCCTCTAGTGCTGTTGATTGGGATCTGAATAAGGATCACAAAGCTTTTCTTCTTCTTTGTTAAATAGATCTAAAAACAATCACATGATTAAGATCTTTGAACAGAAAATCCAGCCCTCCAGGCCACTGATAGCACTGGGTAACTTAGATCATCCCACTGTTGTGAGGCAAAAGAAAAAAAAAGACAAGGGACCAGAAAAAAGGAAGAAAATAATACTACACAGAACCCTGGTAGCTCTTTCTAGCTCCAAGCGGCCTCACCTATAATGGTGTGCCAATGCAATCATGATTCCTAAACACCTGCTACTCCCTTTTTGCTCTTTCATCCTAATCTCATTCCCCTCAAAATATATATTCTTGTTCAGCCTTAGCCATGGTGGATGTGAAATGTAAGATACAAGGTGCATTGATTTGTACCCATTAACATTAGTATATCTGAACTCTTTTTATTCATGCTACTGTTTGGAGAAATAGTTAAATTCCCCTCCATTAGTTAAGTCAGTAGTTATTACGAGCAGTAGCAGAGAATGCTAAAGGAGGAGGGGGAGCAGACATACATACCAAGTTTTATAGAAGAGTAGGCTTTTTCCAGGCTTTTTCAGTCAGTTTCCTCTATCTAAACCTGAAGAAAGCTTTGCAAGCATCCCCAAAGGTTGATTTGAAGAAAACTCTCCCACTCCAGTGCCTTGGGGGAATGTGCCTTTATTGCACAACGTGCAATGATCTGTGCCTAATATTCTATACAGTAGTAGAATTCCTGCCTTTTCCTCAGTGGAGGCTTGTTTCCTAAGCAAATCATGGACATACATCCAATCACTTGGACCGTGGAAGGTTAACACCTCCCTTCCTCTCCCACGCTAAGCTCTCTATTAGAACCTTAATTTTAAAAAGGGACAACATTACTACATGCTATGTATTGCAGTTCATGTGTAATGTAGCACTGAGGGAAATGTTCAACTTGACTTTCATCTGTGTGTTGTAAACTGGGAAGATGCATTTTCTGAATGTAATTATAATTGCAGCAATATCATTAAATGTTGGAAAGGCATCTTCATCCACCATCATATTCTAGTTTATTGTTACACACAGGCCTCACATAAAACAGATGCCATCACTGAGAGGTGGATGAGCATGTTAGACCATAGGGATTAAATGGAATCTTAATGGAAGATGTAGCCATTTCTACGGACAAATAATACTTTCTGCATGTGGTAACTAGAAGAGGGCAGCGTAGGGAAATGGGTACCAGATTGTCACTTCCCACCACAATACTTACTTAGCCTCTTCCAGCTCTTCTGTGCGTTGAATGGCATCTGTCTCGTACTTGGTCCTCCACTGGGCCACTTCACTGTTAGCCTTGGAGAGGGCGCGCTGGAGCTCGCTCTTGGCTTCCTGCTCCTCTTCAAACTGCTCCCGGAGCAAGTCACAGTCATGGCGAGCAGATTGCAAGGCATGGGCCAGGGCATTCTTTGCCTGAGAATTGACAGTACACCATGCATCCATTTGTAACTGAACCTGATTTCTTATACATGTCCCTCTCGCTCCATGGGACAGACTCTAGCAGTGCAAATCAAAGTATTGTCATGATGAGCTGGACTGGACTAATACTTTTTCCTACAGCTGTACTTGAAATATGTATAGTCCTATTGTTTACAACCACTAGCATAACTTGCAAGGGCGTAAAATACAGCAGCAACTTGCTGCTACTTAAGGGGTCACCAGTTGTATTCCTCATCACATGTCAATCTTAACATGCCATGCAGAATGCAAGTAGCAACTCCCTAACTAGCCTTGATCTTCTACTGTGATTTAGCCACAATAACAATCCCACTGGTATGTACCAATAGGTTTCTGGCCATAGATAAAATGAAAAAGAAGTAAACTGATGTTTGGCCAATACTGCAGCAGAAATTAAAAACTGGAAAAGCAATGCAGTGGCCGCACAGCTACTCATGTCTACTCAAGAGTAATACCCATTGCATTCAGTTGAACTCCCTGCCAGCCCCACATATGGAACTTAGATCCAGGTCAATGTAGCTTGGATTAATGTTTAAAACCCAGGCTGCCAACATGTGTTCCAAACATGGCACATGGTCTAGGCTGCTGATTAAGGGCAGAATTCCATCAACAAACACCCACTAACAGTTTATCATGATGTAGACTTTAGGTTCATCCCTGAAAAGGGTAGATTTGTTGAATAAACAAACATGTCAAATATGTTTGAAGTACAGTATAGAAAAGCTGCACAAATTCTTCTTATGGTGCTGTACTCTTTTTAATTAAGAAAAATCAGTGTTCCACACCTCTCAACAACTGTGAATACCTTGGTTTCTTCCTCTAGCTGCCTCTTCAGTTCTTCTATTTGCTGAGTAAATGCTTGCTTGCTTCTGGAAAGCTGGGATATTATGCTTTCCTTCTCTTCAATTTGACGTGACAGTTCACCTTTGAAAACAAATGGTCAAGGTTTTCCTTATGGAATTTGGCATGCATAAACCATTTTTGTTGATACTGTTAGAATATTAGGCATGACCCCATATCTGGCACAGACATATTACAGAGTAAAAGTTGTTCTATCAATGAGGATTGTGCTTCAAACTCCATTTTTTTCCATACTCAACTGAAAGCACTGTATTTTCTACTCTGTTGTTACCGTACAATGCATTCCTCAATGTAGAAGCACTATCAAGGGATGCCGAAGCAAGGGTATTGCCACTTATCAAGTGGCAATCACTCTGAGTTTGCTAAAGGAAGTTTCAGAGATGTTAGGTCATATGGAAGGAAACACACATCTTTTCCACTCACAGCTTCAATATATGGTGTACAAACAAATTCAGTGCGTCTCGCCAATGGTGAGATCCACATGATAAAATGCAAGGACATTTTACATGCATTTCACTGTGATGGAGAACTGTGTTCCCAGTTTGCAAGTTGCACCGGAAGGGTTAAATGAAGACATGCAAGTCTCTCCTATTTCCTCTGCCCTTCTTTCACAAGAGTATCTGTGGACTTCATCTTTTGTGAGACTTAGCATAAATTAAGACCTGGGAGCCTGCAACCAAGGTCACCCTCTTCCATTTTGTTTTCTTTTTAACTGTTATTACAACTGATCGTTTACTTTCTCCTGTCAACTAGTCTACAACAAGCTGTAGTCCTGTTCCCAAGATTGCACAATAACTTTAAATTCTTCTTACTGAATTAAGCACCAGATTATCATCTGTGCGCTCAAGCATCTGAAATACTTCAATTTAAACTGATTAGTGTCATGGAAATCTGCTTTCTGTTCCCCACTGTTGTCTCTTAGCTTCAGGCCTTAGACTAAATAATTTGTTGTAGATAAAGTTGCATTACATGGATTACAAAACCAAATCACAAGCATAATTTTCAATGTAGTCCTCTTAATAGTAAATGTTGGAAAGAAGATTCTAGTACAGTCGCTATTTGTATCTTTGACCATCCCAATTATTTTCCTTACCTGATTCAGCCTGTAAACGAGCTTTCTGAGTAGTTAAATCATTCACTGATCTCTGGTTTTCCTCTGATTTGGCCTTTAGTTCACTTAGCTGGTCCTCCAGTGTTCGACACATTTTCTCTAGATTAGCCTATGATCAACAAGAAATAAATGCAAACTGTATGGATGCATGTGTTTGCATTTACATAGCAGTCCATGAGTGACAATGCACACTTGTATGTCAGACTGTGAAGGATTTCTTTATTTTATTTTCAAATACCTTGGCCTTGGTAATAGTCTCCAGGTTACTAGCCAGGTCATCAATTTCCATTTTGAACTCGCTCTTTGTGTTCGACACATTTTCTCTAGATTAGCCTATGATCAACAAGAAATAAATGCAAACTGTATGGATGTATTACATATGCATGTGTTTGCATTTACATAGCAGTGCATGAGTGACAATGCACACTTGTATGTCAGACTGTGAAGGATTTCTTTATTTTATTTTCAAATACCTTGGCCTTGGTAATAGTCTCCAGGTTACTAGCCAGGTCATCAATTTCCATTTTGAACTCGCTCTTTTCCTTCTCCAGCTTTTGTTTAACACGCTGTAGGTTATCAATTTGCTCTGAAAGTTCAGCCGTACTGTCTGCATGCTTCTTGCGGAGAGCTGCTATGGTAGCTTCATGCTGCAGAGCAGATTCCTCCAGATCACGCCTCATTTTCTGGAATTCTGCCTCCCGCTTCTTATTAATTTCAATCTGTGCTGAGGTAGCTCCTCCAGCCTCTTCAAGCCTTTCGCTGATTTCCTCCAGTTCACGTGCCAAATCTGCCCGTTGCTTCTCTGCCCTTGCCCGATTTGCTCTCTCAGACTCAATCTCCTCTTCCAGTTCCTCAATACGAGCCTACAAAGGAGAAAAGGCCACCATTATTATCATTACTAGTTCACACGCATCAGTGAAGATGGTATTTTAAATATATTTATAAACTGAGGAGGAGACAGTGATGATGGTTGTGGCAACAAGGAGCTCACACCCTAAAATCAACTATGGGAAGGATCAGGGAAGGTTAAATAAATGTCTCGAATGTGCAAAGACATATATTTGGATTTGTGTGCAGTCAGGGATGATGATTATGGCTTTGTGAAGATAGTATATTTTGGAGGAGGAATTTTTTTTTCTTCAAGGAGATAGCACCATATAAATATGGAAGAAAAGAACTACAGTTTTCATTTGGCAAGGTTTCTGTTTTACAACAAGGAAATCACATGTGATTATATCTTTCATATACGGAACATGATTATTATTGTCACCGGTTAAAAATAAGGTGACAAGGTGAGAAGAAGACCAAAGTATGAAAAAAAAAATTCATGCCTGCAGTTCTTTGATTTTCTTCTGCAGCTGAATATTCAAGTTTTGCTCATCCTCTATTTTACTCTGTTGCTGGCTGTACTCAAAGTCTTTCCTGTAAATGAACAAAAGTGGTAATAGTAAGAAGTCACCCTCTAAACGTAGCTTAATAATCATCTACAATTGACATATTCCATACTTCTTCAGTTTTTCTTCTAGCTGCTGCTTATCATTCTCTAGATCCATTAAAGATTCCTGGGCAAGCTTCAAGTCGCCTTCCAACTTCCTCTTGGCTCTTTCAAGATCCATGCGGATTTTCTTTTCCTGTTCCAAGGAGCCTTCCAGCTGCAATTCAAGCTTAATGTTAGTGTCAGTCTCACAGATGGTTTTTTTTTTTAAGGGCAAATGGTATTTCTCCTCTATACTATTTCCTTCCACCTCAGGCAACACTAAGTGGTTGGGGTTCTCTTGTCCCTCCCCGCACTAATAAACTTTCTACCCAAGCCTGAGACAAAACTTCATGTCACCAGGACAGCCTTCTGTGTAAACTCCACTTGGGCACAAGCGTAACTCAAGCGCAAGTGTATTAACTCTGGAAGGGTTGCAATCAGCAGTTTGAGATTGCCCAGGACTGATTTCTCACATCATCAACTTGTTGTTCCAACTTTGTTTTGGCTTTAGTGAGAGTGTTGACTTTGTCTTCTTCAGCTTGTAGATCATCAAGAGCTTGCTGATGGGCCTCTTGGAGAGCTTTCTTTTCTTTCGTTAATTTCACAATAGTTTCATCCAAAACTGCCATTTCTTCTGTTAGGTTCTTAACCTATGGAATATAGCATAATATTGTCTTAGAACAATTGGGACTATTTGAGATATAGATTTAAAGTATCAGAGCAATAATGATTAAACTAGGATCACCAAATGCTCCAGCTAGCTACTGCGTCTCTTTACATTTGTCTTTAACCTACTATTATTAACTGTATAAATAAATGTATCAAAAAGGGAAGTCGTCTTACATTGAAGAGTGTCACTTCGTTACAGGAAAATGAAATATTTTCTAAAAATATTTTATAGTTTTGTATTGCCACTGCATGTTTACCTGTTTATGCCAGGAGAAGAATCTATGGCCGGAAATGTACTTTTAAAAGCAAAATTAAAGAGGCTACAAATACGTATTTACCTATTCATGCCAGGTAGAGATGGCCCATTCTTTGGCTGCATGGGGAGAATCCCGTCCTGCCTCCTTGTCAGAGTGGTTGGCTGCCTGAGGAGGCAGGGACAGGACAGCCAAGCTCCTGCCTGGATTGGAGCACTGCTGGAGGGGAAGGACCCCAGCAGCACTCCAAGAACGGTTAGTGGGCTAGCCAGCCGAGGGTGGGTGGGAGATGGGCCAGCACAACACCTGTGGTGCCACACTGACAGCTTTGTATGAAGCATTTTGTCGTGCTTCGTGCCCTTCTCAAGAGCCAGGAGAAAATGTACTTTTTAAAACAAAATCAAAGAAACTACCTTATTTTCTGTGGCATGCTTTTCTTTTTCAACCTTGGCCAATGTTAACTCAAGATCATCGATGTCTTTCTTTAGCTCTGAGCATTCATCTTCCAGTTTCCTTTTCTTGGCTGTCAGCTCTGCATTCAGCTCTTCTTCATCTTCTGCTCTTTCAGTCAGCTCCTTGATTTTAGTCTCCAGCTGGATTTTAGTTTTGATCAGCTGGTCACACCTTTCTTCGGCATCTGCCAAACTTTCACTTTCCTTATTGAAGAAAGAACCATGATATTCATTTTCCTTCTACTCCAGCAGGCAATATTACAACACACCACATTCTAAATGTCTGCCTTTTATAATGGAGCAAAAAGCCTCAGCTTTTTCCTAGGCTTTTTATAGCTAAGATCAAGCAAGTTCTGCTTGATCAAGATATCTTAGCATTGTGTTTCTCAAATATCAGCTGAAGAAGGACAAGGGAAAGTAGAAGTACTTGAAACAAACATAACATGAAAGAAAAACATTCTCATGATGCCTGAGAAAGAGTTTGTGTACTCTGGAAATGATTGAGATGTCCAATAATCATTCCTGGAAATGATTCAAACTGTGCTAACTCCTTGTCAGCTTGCCACTGTTCATGGAACTTGCCTGCTCTCTCTGTGGAAGGTCCTGTTTTGGGACCTATCATTAGGAACATCCCAAATCTTTTTGGTGGCACAAACAGTGCTGAATGGCATATGCTCCCTGTCCTGCTCAGTAAGTGAGACTCTCATACTGGAATTCTCTTGACCCCTTTTTAATTTGTATTGACTGCATCATTTTATATTACATTATGGTTTTATGCTATTTTAAGTCATTCTGAATGATGCATAAGCAATAAAAAGTGGGAGAGATGTCTATACATAAAAGTTAACACATATTTGAACAATTTGCTTACGACACCAATTATTCTGATGTTGGTGATGGGGGAGATATTTATGAATAACTTACAGATTGTACTTGTAGCTGCAGATCATTTTTCTCTTGCAACAGTGAAACCATTTTTTCCTCCAGTTCCTTTCGTTTGGCTTCAGATTTAGCAAGTTCATCCTTCGTTTTCGCAAACTCTTCTTTCATTGTAGCCATCTCTTTCTCTGCCTCTGCGCTCTTCAACAGTGGTTTAATCTTGAAGAATAGCTTCATCCAGGGCCAGTGTTTGACGTTCATGAATGAGCGAATGTTGTATTGAATGGTGAAGATAGCTTCCCTGGGGTGGAATCAATCCACAGAGTTACTCATTGTGGAAACTATGTGGTTCACAAAAAAAAAAAAAATCCACCAGGATTTCTGAAGCAGAGTTCTGCAATTTCATAATGTGTGACAAAACCAGAACAAAGGTCTAAACTACTTTTAAAACAAATTGATTGAATCTGTTAGTCTTAAAGGCACAAAAAGGCTGTGCTTTTGTTAGTCCGTTATACCTGCTGAAACCAAATAAGATGGCTCCCTCTCTGAAAAAAATTGCAGTTCCTTGATGAAGCTGCAACTGCAGAATTTCAAACTATCCACTTGAAATCATGCCGCTGCAACTCAGAAGCAATATTCCAATGTGTTCAGCATTAGGATTAAGTAAACACACAGGGAAGGGAGTGATGTAGCCCTGATCCCCACCCTAATGCTGCTTTGCATACATGAAGAGGAGAGATGTGTGAAAGATATAACATGAACCAGAAATCAGATTTTTGAGGGCCGTGGTTGAGTTGAGGCACTCTACATGTAGAAGAGAATGGCATCTTATCAGAACCATTGCTGTTCACATGAGCAAAATGAGAATATAAGTCATGGGGCTTGAGTGGTGTTTTTCTTGTGGGTTCCTTTAACCATAATAGTGTGCACTTGAACAGAGCTGAAGAAGAAAAGTAGAAACTAGATGAAGTGGTGCTTTGAATGGTCCCTGTTAGCACCTCTTTTACAGTCTATGGTCTGTAGCCATGGACCGTCTGTCCAACAGTAGAATGGATACATTTTGGGAACAGATTTCCCCTCCATCTTGATGTCCCTGCAAATTGCCTCTGGTGCCCTAGAGTCTCTAGAGTGAATTATAGAGTCATGCAGGAATGTGCAAAGCAAAAGAGAGGAAAGGGAATTCCTCTTACAGAAATCTGTTTCGTGACGTTGATATGGGGAAATATGTGCTGTAATACTTTTGGAGAAGCATAGTAGGTGGAAAGGCTCTAGTTCTATTATCCAAAGCCTGTTGCTTAGCATAGTAAATTGCACTAGAGTAGGCCACTGAATTAATGGGGATTTGGTAAGTCAACTTCTTGATATATTACATTGATGCCAATGTGCCTACTCTAACTGCAACTCACTTTAGTGTAGTTGAAGAAACTCTGCATAAACTAACAAAGAAAACAAAAGACCTTACCTTCTCGCCACCATTTTCTGGTATTCCATTCTCATGAGGTATCCTCTGCACATAGCCTGTGTGCGAGTAATGAGCAATGCCAGACGATCATCTCTCATTTCTTCCAGAAGGCCCAGCAAGCCAGCTTTGAAAAACACCTGAAAAGAGAATGCCATCTAGTAGTGCCTCTTGGTATGTCTAACACTTATAACAGAGTTTTCACCACAGAAAAGTGCTTACTTTAGTGTGTCCAAATTTGTACTGAGTGTGATCAATATCAATGGATCCAAGCAGTTTCTCACAGGCTTTCCTGCTGTCCATAAACTGGCCTTCTGGGATAGCACTAGCGTTTAGAACACGGTATCTGTCCATTCAGCAAAGAAAGATAATCTCAGCATTGAAATTACTGGAGAAAGAAGAAGCTCTGTCTCAGTGGGACACTTCTAATGTCCGCTGATAGTTTGGGTCAGTTGTGGGCAACTTGAGACTCTCCCAAGTATTGTTGGACTGCATCTGCCAGCATCCTTCACTATTAAATCTGCTGTCTAGGGCTGATGGGAGGTGCAATTCAGCAACAGCTTGTGGACCACAGGCTGCCCACCCATGGCTTAGTTAATAACCAGTAAACAGTCAATAAGAACCACTTTGGCTATAGTTGTCAAAAGGGGTTGTGCTAATTTTATCTATACAGTATATTTTCCCAGATTGCACAAAATGTTGAAGGGAGAGTTCCACAGGCAAAATCAGGGTCAGTACAATTCCAATAAAAGTACATTGTATCACATCCAGCTAGAGTGGATCCACTGAAAGAAGAGGATTTGTCATGTCAACACTTACGTAAATTCCATTGATTCAACAGACCTGCTCTAATTAGGACTAACAATTCGATACAGCCCACAGTTTCTCGCATACAACCACTGGTGAATTTAACATAGTTTATAACACAATGTTCAAACAAAAGTTTGCTTGCTTTTGGATTTAGATATGAATATCTGTTTCTGTTGAAAATGCTTTCCCAGCAAAAGCCTCCATGCAAATTGGCAAGATTACTGAAATTTAGCTGGCGAACCTTTGCTTGAAATCTCCATATAAGATTCTGTTTGGAAATCCCTTCCTGCAGATGCGAATGCCTTCAAGCACCCCATTACATCTCAGTTGATGTAAGACCAGCTTGTGGTCCATTGCACCTGTCAAGAGGAAATGAACAAACACACGCACAAAAAAAGAATGGCAACTTTTCCTTATGTTCAAGTGAATTCTTTCTGGAAATCTACATATCAGATTTAGTTCAGGTTACCTGGAGTTTTGGTTTCATTGGGGATGATGCAGCGCACAAAGTGTGGGTGAGTTGTACGCAAGTTGGACATCAGTTTATTCAGGTTTTCCTATAATATGGATAGAGCAATGTTAGAACTTGGTAGGTCTTTAAAATCTCCTTACAGAAACGTTTCTGCTTGTTTCTTTCATTCTTATATAGCTCAGAATCTATATGATGGTGGCTGTTAAAATTATAGGCCTAAATCCAGTTTTAATCCCAATAAGAATGGACTCATTGGCTCCACAGAAGTTATGAAACTGAATGTCATCATGTACTCCATTATTTACCAAATATCCAGTGATTTCTGGTCTATGCAAAACAATGGTCTGTTTTTCTTATGACTAGCACTTGAATTTAGGCCGCAGTATTCCAGCAAAGACATAATTGTTCATTAACAGCTCTTCAGCTTTATTAAAGTGCATTTGGAGAAAGAAAAAATGAAGTTTGGGTTGATTAGATCTGTTCTTTCTATAGATATATGGCCAGTTTAGCTCAGCATCGAGTTTTCAGATGCATCCCTGGGTGATATAAGTCTTGCTTAACGCATACCGTGCCTAGATACAAACAATTACAGTCCTCTGTCATTTGAACTATTTTAAAAAGTTTTTTATTAACTATGTCCAGGATACAGTACTGCATTTCCATCGACAGAACAGGGGAATCCAGCAGAATATGGAGAGGGTGGGTTCCCCTTCCCACTGTAGAACTCTATAGAACCCAGAAATTAGTTTCATTAGAGAAAGAAATTCTCTGGAACTGATTTTTTTTTCCAGGCATCTCTGCGAACTTCAGCAAGAATGGAGGCGATCCTGTTATGCTGGCAGGGCAGTGCCAATATGATGTTGGATTTGGGCCAGAACCTACACTGACTCAAAGGTCGGTCTGTCCAATTAGGGAGAATTTTCTTTATACAAAGAAATATTTCATGAATTAGACATCTCATACATATGAATATATGACCTGATCATCACAGTAGTGTGAGCTACTGTGGTCTGATATTTCTAGTACCGGCAAGTCTTACCCTGAAAAGTGCAGAAACAGTTTGGAAAGATGACCCCTTCTTCTTGGCTCCTTTCTTCTTAGCACCGCCACCTTCCGCTGGAAAGCAGGATGTAAGTACAGTCAGCTATCTTTTAATCAACTCAAATTCCAGTCCTGTGTGACATAAAAAATGGCAAAAGTGGTAGAGCAACTGGAAAGTAAAGCAAAAGGTTCCCATGACTTACCATCTTCTAAGGCTGCAAAGCTGGCATAAAGATTGGCCAGAATCTTAATTGACGATTTCTGATAGAGTGCCACCACCGTTTCATTCAAGGGGTCCTTGTTCTTCTCCAGCCAGCCACTGATGTTGTAGTCCACAACCCCTGCATAATGCACCAGGGAGAAGTGAGCTTCAGCCTTGCCTTTGACAGGCTTGGGTTTCTGGAAATTGGCAGATTTGCCAAGATGCTGATCATAGAGCTTGTTCTTGAAAGATTGGTCTGTTGCCTTGGGGAACATGCACTCTTCTTCCAGGATGGAGAAAATGCCCATGGGCTAAGTTGAAAAAAACATGTATAAATCTGTTATATCTAAAGGATATATTTACAAGGCGTATTTATTGACAAGACTCTATCCCAGAGTACCTTCTCAATAAGTTCAATGCAAGCAGCCAAATCCATGCCAAAGTCTATGAAAGTCCATTCAATTCCTTCTTTCTTGTACTCCTCTTGTTCCAGCACAAACATGTGGTGGTTGAAAAACTGTTGCAGTTTCTCATTGGTGAAGTTGATACAGAGCTGCTCCAAGCTGTTGTACTAAAGGGAATTAAAAGAGAAGACAGATTTTCCTAAGGTTCACAAAGTTGATGCACGACTTATCCTGGCTGCTGAAGGAATACTAGAATATCTTCACCTTGAAAATATCACTTTGACCTCAAAGATGCACAGGTAAACAATTTTAAAATTTATTTTTCTAGAGTTCTAAGCAAAGGGTACAAGAACATTGACAAGTAATGAAAGAAGTGCCTTAGGATCAGGATGGTCTAATCTGAATTATTTTCCATTGACTCCATGATGTATGCACTTTTACATCATGGAGCCTGGAGTTTTTTCTCCCTAATCTGTAGGTTTTCCCTTCACTGGGGAAAAACCATTTTGGAGTCGAAGGCATTTCTCATTGGTTCAGACAGCATTGTTGCTTGAGCCATAGTGAAGAGGTTTGAAGCCATTGTACTTAAAGCCATTTTAGCTGGTAACAGCAGTAATGAGGGAGGCAGGACTGCAAGAAATCCTCTCCTTATGCCTGGATGTGCTTTCATATTTCCCTTCCTTCCCTTCCATTTCTCTAGCACTAGGGCAGCTAGGTGATCAAAGGGGGAAAATGGAACTGGGAGAGAAACAGAGGAGGAAATTTCAAAGTACTTCTCCACTAACCATACCGCCTGCATATCTGGTTGGCCTGTGCACAGCTACCTTAACAAGCAGGAAACAAGGGTGAACTGAAAATTTCCTCCTGCCTCTCACTCCCCCCTCCCTTTGGTTACCTAGCTGTCTTAGCACTAGTCAGCAAGCGTTTAAAAGGAAATAAGGGAAAGGGGGAAAAGTAGACCCAGGCACTAGATATAAGAAGGAGAGGATTTGAATGATTAACAAGCTGCAAACAAGGCTGACTTCCTCTCCCCTCTTTTGACTCTTGTTGAGCCCTGCTGTGTAGTCCCACCCTTAAGGACTTGAAGCAAAGAGAGCGCTTAGACATTTTCTTTTTCTTGCTTTTTATTGTTGTTAATGCACTCTACACCAGTATGCATTCTAATAAAATCAGTAATCTACACATTTAACCACAATCTTAATATTATGTGTATATATACTATGAATCTATACATCAACATAAAACTCCTCAAAATAAGCAGTAATCGGAAAGAATTAACCAACTCCTAAAAATCATCTAAAAAGCTCAAATAAAATACACCGGTCACCGACGTCTCTGCAAACCCAACACCTATGGCTCTAGGTTGAACAGATAGGTTTTCAAGCCTCATCTAAATATGTCCAGCTCTGGTTCCACGTGAAAGTACTGGGGGAGAGAAATCCAGAGCTTTGGAGCTACGCCTGGAATTTGCCACTTTAGTCCCAGGAACTGACAAAAGTCCAGAACATGCAGACCAAGTCCTAGTTTATTTGGAGATGGTGTAGAGCTGCAACTATTATTTCTTACAAGGGCAACTGAATGTACAACCCATTCTTTTGAATGCAGAGGGAAAACGTTTTAAGCATGAGAACATGATTGTTAGTTAATGCCAACTACTCAGTTCAGGATTGCAGCCGTCTCCTGGGAAAAGAAAAGATTATTCATTACTATAGGATAGCAAGAAATATGTACCTCAAAGATTTCAAAGCCTGCGATGTCTAAGACGCCAATGAAGTGTTGTCTGGGCAATTTTGTATCAAGTTGTTGATTGATGCGAGCTACCATCCAGAAGAACAGTTTTTCATAGACAGATTTGGAGAGGGCATTGACAGCATGATGGACCTGGGGGAGCATACAGTTAAACCTTAGTGTTAGTAAAGCCAAGCCCTGTGTAAATTGAAGAATCACTGTCTGGTCTAGGGGATAAGGCTAAACCACAAATAATAGCACTAGTTAAAATGGAAGCTGGTGGATCATAGCCCAGATAAGGAGCTTTAAACATTACACTCTTCTACACTGAGTTCTTCCTTTGAAGGTGGGATGGGTAACACAGATTGCTTTATCGCAAGATAACCAAAAATATTCCAGATTTTTACTGGAGTACAAAACAGAAGGATTGGCTGGGAGAAAATAAATGGGAATTGTGCTGGATGTCATGTAGGTGTTTTTACATTTCACTTAACAAATGGCGCCTTTTGTTCAAAGCTACTCCATGATCCCACTTATACCCTGTTGATGTAAGCTATTCTAAGTGGCATTCCAGTGATCTTAACACATGTAGGGCTGATGTCACGAAATTGTGCCCAAACTGGTAATTCTATACTGCAGAGTGAAAAGAAGAAATGGACCCTCCATAGAGTTGTCTTGATTAGCTGGCCAATAATTTTGCCCTCTGGATTGTACTCACCTGGTCTACAGTTTGACCTTTAGTCACATATTCATTCCCCACTTTTACTCGAGGGAAGCACAGGCATTTCAATAGATCTGCAGAGTTTAAACCCATCAAGTAAGCTGCCTTGTCAGCCTCTATTTAGAAAAAAATATATGAGAAATAAATATTTTTGAACTACTTTCCGAGTAATCAGAGTCCTTTCAAAGTGGGATGGGTAACACAGTTGTCAGACCGGTCTGAAGTGAGAGAAGTCATCCAGATTTCCAGTAAGAGCACAACTTCTCTCACAATCTCAGAAGAGATTTCTAATTAACATGTAAACATTTTTTCTTAATATAAGATGTATTACAATGTCAAAAATAAACAGAAAGCAAATGACAAATGAGTTCCACATCACAAAAAGGAAGTCCACCTTCATTTCAAGCCCATCTTCTCTCTAAAATCCCATTTCTTACTTCTCACCCTGTCATCTCAATTCAAGAAGCAAAAATCAATTGATAAGGAGAAAAGAAGAAGCAATTAAGAATCATGGGAAGGAGTGTCATGGCAAACAGTTGTGAAGGCATACACAAGTCCTCTTCCCAGCATGAGGGTCAGTCTTTCGAGGGTTACTTTCTGTATCTTGCAATAAAATACATATGATCAACAAGATGTTTAAAAAATGACAGTTCTGCCTAGTGGGCACAGTAACTCAATTACCTTCAGTGCCATCTGGCTCTGCCTGTTCCTCTCGTGGTTTCTCCTTGAACTTCATATTCCCATAATGCATCACTGCTCCAGTCAGTTTGTAGATTGCAACTTTCTCTTCAGAAGTAAAGCCCAGGATATCTATAGCTGTCTGTAACATGGGGAAAAGATGGGTCACACAGTTAACTGAAATGATTAATCAGTAATTAAATAAGTAGTTTTATATGATATCAACATCATTTGTACTCACATCAGTAGCTATAAGCTCCTCTTGATCATCAATGCTTTGCACTGAGATCTCCCCTTGGCTTATAAATGGATAGTCATAAGGGTTGGTTGTGAGGAGAAGCATTTCTGAAATGCAAACAGAAGATTCAAATTGCCACAGAGCGCCCTGGCTTCAGGCAGAAATGGAGGCTGAAATCCTGTTGATTAGTATAGTAAGTTGCAACCAGAGTCAGCCCATGGAGTTAATGGAACTTGCGGAGAAGCAAATCCCCACTGATTCAGGGGGCCTATTCTAATTTCACTTTCCTGCAACAGGGTTTCAGCCAATGACTAACAGCATAATCCTATTCACAAGTACGTTATTCAGAACTAAGTCCCTTTACTCCCAGGTTAGTATTTATACAGCTGCTGTGTGAAAAGTCTTGAAAAAGAAATGTTAATTTTTCCCACATCTCTTAGCAGTTAATCATAGCAATTCAGAAATACAATAAATTGCATACAAATAGCTTACATATATAAATACAGCTTACATACCAATCAGTTCTGGCTTCTTGTTGGACAGAATCTGATAGAAGATATGATAACTTCTCTCAGCCTTCAACTGAAAAGTTACTCTGGATTTTTCCAGTAGATCTGCAAGAGATATTATATTAATGTTGGCAAACCCAGTCCAATACTGAAATAGACTATGTTCCAGTGGAAGTACTTACAGGTCTCAATATCTGCCGAAGCCAGCTTTCCAGTGGCACCAAAATGAATCCGAATGAATTTCCCCTGTGTAGCAGGAAGACAGAACCCAGAAATTATGTTCCAGAGACTTGGAACTTTAGGATTAAGTGTTTCCATCTTTTGATACCATTGCTGCTGCTCTTTTGATTCTTGCTGATTGTTTTTAAATGGCCGTTCTATGTTTCTGTTCTTGATGGAAGTTGTTAGTTATTTGGGAGAAAGGGCTGTCTCTTACATATCCAAAAGCTAGGAATTATAGAATATTTTTTTAAAATAAATAACTTTTCACTATTAAAAAGGACTAGAAATAGGCACAAACTAAAAAACAAACCAGGAAGTTCATCAAAAGTCGCTATTTCCAGAAGGGAAGCTCAACCACTGTCTCTCTAAGATGACAGCATCAGAGAAGGAGGACTAGGAAGAGGAAGAGGGGACAGGACCAGGTAGGGAGGCGATGGGAGCAATGGGATTGGGGTGGGGCAGGCTGTGGGAGTGGGGGGGTTAGTTTCCCCTCTCCCCTAGGCACAAACCTTTTTAAAAAGCAAACTGGTCCATGGTCCTTCTTAAAAAAATCAGATGGTTCATGTTTCTTGAGTAGTCACAAACCACAATTTTTGTGGTACATACAAAGGGACATAATTCAAATCAAACATCCTTTACAAAGGAATTTGCCAAGAGGTTTTTAGTATTTCACTGCATCGTGAAGAAAAGGGGAAAGACCTTGTGAAGGAGCCTGCATTTGTGCCCTGAATCTGCTGAATGTCAGCTTTTGGCTAGTATCTTTTGCACCCCTTCATAGGTACTGTACTGTTCTGCTCCTGTTCTTAAGTTGTCAAGAGCTCAAGGTTTCTTGAGACGGAATAAATTTAATGGATGAGAGAGGAGGACACTTAAGCAAATATGAAACTAAAACTGCAATACAAAAACACACACATCATGCTGGACTGCCCTGCTGAACTATGTGAATTTCTGTTGTGTCACCTGTTAAGCAGTTAACTTTTCTCCCCCCAGTGGCACTTTCTTCACAAGATGATGTAAACTTTGATCGGGACCCTGTTGGTGCAACTCCGCACATGTACAACTGATGGGACCTGGGGGAGGGAACTACAGGCAACAAGTTTTGGACACTAAAGGCTGGACCAGACCAGTCCAAGGCCTCCAGAAGCTTTGCCAGTTAGTCAAAAGGGTTTGCTAGGGATCCTCAGAACATGAGGGAGGAAATAGGGAACTTAATTAGCAATAAGTCCACAGCTGATGACATCATCAGAATGTTGTACTTAAGCTGCACAAAAGTCCACAGCTGATGACATCATCAGAATGTTGTACTTAAGTTGCACAACAGGGTTCTGGCCACTATTTCTTTAAAAATTGTGAAGCACAAGCAGAGAACTCAAGGCTTACATTCCCTTGTGGCTAACTCTCCAGAGCTGATTATCAAAGATAGACATCTCCAGCTCACTAGAAGAAAATGGGTGAGGTTGAAGTCTCATTAGGTTGCTCCACACACACTATCGTTACACAAAGTCACTCACTCATAACACACATTCCGACCACTTACATTTCCATTACAACACATGACATGTGATACACCCCACAGATTTAGCCTTAAGTCTTCCACTGGAGCCACTTCGGGGTTTTTGGGGGGTTTTTTGTAAGAGGCGGCCACAGTACAGAAGAAGGGGATAATTAACCTATCCTTCCTCATTTATGATCCCCCAAATATCCGTGTGCTCTGATTAGACCAATTAATTTCATTGCATCCCATGGAAAGCATTTCTCACTCCTCACTCCCACCTGCTGAGAGTGGGAGTGAGGAGGGGTGAATCAATTACAGACGGCCAATGGACCAGAGATTCTTGGTCCTTAATGTATATGCCACTTACAAAGCGGGATGAGTTGTCATTCCTCACAGTCTTGGCATTCCCAAAGGCCTCCAGTAGGGGATTGGCACTGATGATTTGATCCTCCAGTGTTCCCTATAAATGTATTTGAAGAAATATTTGGAAAGAAACATAATGAATGCACTTGCAGATATATAGTTATGCATATAATTATATAATATAAAATTGTTTGATAAACAAGCCTTGTGAGAGAATCCCATGCATTTTTTTCTCAAATAAGCTGGTTGTCTTTTTTCCAGGCACACATGTGTAGAATGATTTATATATGGTTACTCAAAAAGTGCGATATAGTTAGGATAGGACGTGGTGCTGCTGTGGGTTAAACCACAAAAGCCTCTGGCCTGCAAGGTGGAAATATCAGCAATTCGAATCCACGCGGCGGAGTGAGCTCCCGTCACTCGTTCCAGCTCCTGCCCACCTAGCAGTTCGAAAGCATGTAAAAATGCAAGTAGATAAATAGGTACCCCAATGGTGGGAAGGTAACGGTGTTCCGTGTCTAGTCACGCTGGCCACGTGACCACAGAAACTGTCTATGGACAAACACTGGCTCTATGGCTTGGAAATGGGGATGAGCACCACGCCCTAGAGTCGGACATGACTGGACAAATTGTCAAAAAGAACCTTTACCTTTTTAAGAACATACAGGACTGTAGTCTTAATTTTGTTAGTTTTATTTTCTACGACACATCACAAAAACCGATTTCAAGCCTCCAGTGAACTCATTCAAAGTAACAAAGCCCTGACTAAAGTTTGCTTTCTTTATAGCTCAGACAATTTAGGTGCTAGCATATAACAAAAATTAAGTACCATGAAGAGCAATTATTCTCTCAGTAATAGATTTAGGTTTGCACTCTTAATTTCATGCATTTCTTTCATTACTTCTTTCTTTTATACCTAGTATGATGTTTGTATGTATGCTGGGATTAGAGCTGGGATGCCTGGATCCCAACATTAGGAGGCTCTCACTCTCACACTCTAAAAAAACAAAACAATACAACACTGGTTCAATTTAACTTGCTATTTTTGAGCTTAAGTTTCTTCGGAAGAAAATGATAACTAATTAGCACATAGCTAAATCAAAGCAACTCGTTCTCCCAAGTTCTGCCAGACGTTCATCATACCTTCATCTTAGATTGTCCTTCCTTTTTCTTGGCACCATCTCCAGTAGCTGCAATTGTTGCAAAATACTGGATGACACGCTTGGTGTTTACAGTCTTCCCAGCACCAGATTCTCCACTGTTTGGAATAGTTAAGCACAGGATGAAGAGAAATGGACATTCATTTACTGTGCCAGAACTGAACATGGGCAAAATAAAGCAAGACAAACATAGGCTGCCAACTTACGTGATCAGGATAGACTGATTTTCACGATCTGCCGGAAGGGTGGGGGGGAGAGAAAATGTTGTGAATATCATACTACAGAGAATGATGCTAAGCCACAGTGCATTGATTTTATTCATACAGACATAAATAACTATAAATCAGCAGAGTTGGAGGGTGCACCAGGGGTCCTCTATTCCATACCCCACCAATGCACCATAGGTGGAACAAATGGATGGCCATTTATTCTCCATTTAAAAACCTTGAACAGAGGAGAGTCCACCATTTTCTCAGGCTATCTGAGAAAATGAATAGCTGAAGAGCTCTTATGAGCAGTTCTCTCTAATATTTCTCATAATTAGAATCTAATTGTTCAGGAGGACCTACCCTCTGTCGTACTGGTTTGTTCAGATTAATTTTCCCCATTGCACTTTTCTGTTTATGATGTCTAATTCTCCCTTTAGTTTTGAAGTGTACATACCAGTCAGCATGAACTGATAAGCATTATCAGAGATGGAGAAGATGTGAGGAGGTGCCTCTGATCGTTTCTTGCCCCGGTAGGCAACCACCACCTCTGGATTGTACACAGGAAGCCATTTGTATGGATTCACAGTGACACAGAAGAGGCCTGAGTAAGTCTGCATGAAAACCAAGAAAAGAATCATCACAATTTCTCCCTTTGGGAATTCTTTTGATCTATGCTAGATAACACCACTTACATAGATCATCCAGGAGCTGTAACGGTCTTTGAGGTTATACAAAACTGCAGGTTCATGTAAGTGTGTCAACATTGCCATGTCTTCAATTCTATCAAACTTAGGTGGGTTCATGGCATACACATCTTCTTGCTTAACAGTCAGTGTCTGAAATATGAAGAGGAAAAAAGTTTTGTGTAAGGAAAAATCAGGCTATAATGAAAGGTTCAGTAGGAATGTAAAGCTTTTAAAAGGGACATTATTGATCATCCCTGTTATTTGAATATTTTGCCAGCATTATGGACACTTTCTCCTTGGCCCTTTTTCTAACCTACTATGTAGTTTTGTAGGAATTTTTTTTCTCTAGTCAAACATCTAAACCTAACCTTCAAAACTTGGATTTCCGTGCCCAAACCCTCAATTGGCTCCAAAAATGAGGTGGGCTTTGAGTTTGACCCACTTCCTTATATTTTTGGAAAAACGTGAATATATGTATTGAAAATAAGGGACTCCCAACATCACACTGGAAATCCTACAAGATGCTCACCCTGCCATCATCTGTCTCCACTGTTACTTTTACACCTTCGGAGCTCTTGATTTTTCCTTTAGCGTATTCTTCCTTGGTATCAGCCACGTAACAGTAAGTCTTGGCATCGAAGGGTTGGTTCTGAGCCTCTATTCGCTCTTTCTCAGATTTGCGTAAGAAAGGGGCAGCCACCCCAAAAATCTCCATGTCCGCATCCCTGCTCATTGCTGCAGCTTAAAAGAGATCAAGAAGGCTCAGTCCATTGGATGCCACATTATGTTCAGACAGTACCAGACACAAATGGCTGTTGCTTTTAACCCTATTAAATTTTACAAAAATGCATTGAGTCCCATGAGCATGCATTCAGTCCCAGTGTAATAGGCACAGCTTTTCTATACACAACTTCTTTCTTTGTAACAACAGCTGTGTTTGAGAGATTCTAGGCAGAACCTTCAGTCCTATTCCTTGCTAGTTTACTTGACTCTTATTTTTATTATGTTGGCACAGAATTCATATAGCCACAGCAACAATGTACATAGTGTAGAAAATACTTGACTTGATATTATCTTTGGTAAGGTCATTCTTCTTTGTCAGACTTTATACCCCAACAATGATCAAATGTTTCCTTGAGAAATGACTGAATTTTGTAATCCAATGCCCTGTTGCTTGTTGTAAGGAGGCCTAAGATGAATGGGGGATGTGCCTTCACTCTACACATTGTTGCTGGAGAAGTGCCTCTACTGAGGGAGGCCTTCTGCTCCCCAATCCACAGTGTAATAGCTTTAACCTTATGAACAGCTGGACAAGTCAGCCAAGTATAAATAAATAAATAAATGAATAAATAAATAAATAAATAAATAAATAAATCCTGCACAGGGCCAAGTGTTAGCGAATTTCCACTCCCTGTTTTTCTGTTCTCTGCATAAATAGAAACCCCTATTATTTAACAGAAACACAGTTTAAACCTGCTGAATCTCTGTTATGTCCCAGATGAGAAAGACAAGACGTGGATTTGTACAAAGCAGATAGCGTTTGGCACATAAAATACCACCTGTGCTCACCAGACCGTTAACTGGCTAGTCTGTGTGCAGAGTGGGTGTGTAAGTGGCATGTATCTGTAGTATTGTATGAGTCATATAAGTAAAGAACCCACAGGCATCTCCTGCAAGCAGTTTCAGTTAAAAGAAGAACAGCTTCTGATGGGAGGTAGATCTCATCTGGGAATGTTGCATATTAAATAGTGGGAGTGATGGCAACAAAGGCTGTTGTTTCCAAGAGACAATCCATTTATTCGTTCATTTACAATCCTGTCCCTTCACCCAAGGTTTGTAGGCATGATCATCAGATTACAAGGAGAGAGCATCCTCCTGTCTGCTCACAAACACAAGAGCACGGCAGTTCAGTATCAACTTGTAACAAATGAAACTACAGCACACAAAAGACCGTTTACAAGGGTGAAAGTGGGAGGACTCCACTACCACACTGAGACTTCTCACCTTTTTGTTGTTTACTCCCAACAGAAAGAAGAAGGAAACCAGATAAAACGTTTAACCTGCAAAAGAGCAGACAGTTTAAGTGTTGATGGTTCCACAATCCCCAACAATCCAACAGCTGAGAATGTATTGCAGTCTTCCCATATATAAGGGCTTAAACCGCACTGCAGAAATGAACCCTCTTCCCTCAGTATTTCCTCACTGAAACAAAAGTATCTTTGATATCAGTTATTCTGCAGCTGCCCTGTCTGTTTTGACACTTGGTTATCTGGCACTGGGGGAATCTCTTTATATTAGTGCATTGCAACAGAGAAAAGGAAATTGGCATGGAGGGAAAGACAGATAATCAAACTTACCTCAGACCGTCTGTAGGCACCAAGAAACCTTTCATCTCTGTCAGCTTTTATACACTCCCATTCCTCTGTTAGATCAGCCCATCTCTATATTTGGGAATCATGGACCATCCCTATAACTTGCTTGCCACTTCCACACTTTTTCCCGTTCAATGTATTTATAGAAATGATCAGGTTCAGTTGTTATTTATCAATTCTGATAGTTTGGCCTGGGGTAATAGTTGTAAGTTCTTTATTTCTTTGAAGGTAAGATCTCTACTTGCAGAACTTGTCTGTGACAATTTTTTTAATCTCACACAGTGATAGCCTGGGGGTTTTACTGGGCCAACTATTGGAAATATATATGTCCTTAATTATCCTGGGATTCGGTCTCCTTTTACCGTTGAATTTTAAGCATGTATGGTAGATACTAAAATGTATCAAAGCTTCAAATTAAATATATAAATGCTATCTGCACATAAATTTGGACATGGCTTCATGCAGCATAGACCTAAATAAGCAAACATACATTTTCTTTGCAGTGTGGGAGCATCTCCTATCAGCAAGAGTGGTTGCATTAAGAATGCTAATTATATGCCCAAGATAAGGATTAAGCAAAGTGAGAATTTTTTTTTTTAAAAAAAGGACTCCTTTAAACTGATTTTTGTTGACCAAATATGATTATCTGCAGTTTGTGTATATACCCAGTGGTATGGGATAAGCCTCATGTGTGTGAGAAAGAGAGGATGAGAGAGAGAGGATAACAGAGAGAGAGAGAGAGAAATATCTCACCCTCCTGCATTGTGTGTATCGGCCATCTGGGTGAAGAAGGCAATGATGGAACCTTCTCTAGTTCCTCTTGGCCCCATCCATAGGGCTTAGGTAGTGTGAGACTCCAAGCTGCAAAGTGTCAGATCTTCTTTGGGAAAAGGAAGAGGGCGAGACAAAGTACTGAAGGGCAAATGTTGAAAGAGTAACTAAATTAAAAAGTAGACAACAAAGGAAGACATAGTTGGGAGCCATTTCGAAGAATTTGGTTGAAAAATGAGATACAAAACTAGATATCTAGTTATTATCACTAACTATTTTATTCTTATCTTTACGGGCTTATTATTGACACACTACTCTCCTGAACAGGCACAACCTCCTAGTGAAATATGCCAAACAATCACAACTATATGACCAGCAAAGTGGTGTGGCTAGGTAATGAATGAATAACCCTAAGTGCAGGCAGTGCATCCCATAGTAGCCTGTCCATTAAAACTATTCTCTCAATAGAAGTGGTGATTGTCCAGCCCCTCCCCCTATGTTGACAAACTGCTGCTCCCATCATCCTTCCTCATGGGGTAGGCTATCTCGGCCTGTTGGGAAGCTGCTGGATCAGTTCAGTCCCAGTTCATCACTGTTTGTTCTGGAGACGTTTTTCAGTATTTTTTTCCTTCCTTCCTTCCTTCCTTCCTTCCTTCCTTCCTTCCTTCCTTTGCCGTAATTTCAGGATGCTTCACAGTATTCCCACTGGCCACAATTGAAGAGTTGCCGGAAACGACTTGGCAGCACAAGAGAACAACCATGATTGATGAAATTAATAACTGCATGGTCTTAGGCAAGCTGCAAGGACTCAGTACCAACTGAAGGAGAAATTGGTAAATAACTACTGAGTACTTTATACAGTACCTAGAAAATCCTGGAAGATTTGCTGTAAGTGAATTGACAGTGACCATCCTCTGCCCACCAGACAAGGATAAGAACTGTGGGTTTGTGGGGTTCATGCACTGCATCGTGCAAACAAAAAGGACAATGGCAGCAGGACCAATGTAAGCCACCTGTCCTTCCACAAGAGAAAGAGGAGAAGGACTTCCAGACCACTATCAGCAGTAGCTCTGTGTCCAAAATGCTTTATCTGAGGAATCTCAAAGCTAAACCTCCTGGGAAAAAATGTATATGAAAATCACCTGTACAGGTGATTTCCGTGCTGGGAGGTTGCCTGTAGCCAGTCCTGTACTCTGGGAGAGGCTGTGTTTCCTTTCTCTAGTGGAGAACCAGCTAGAAGGAAGAGGAGAAAATTGGTGGGAAGGGGAACGGAAAGCTGCTCCTGGATGTTCTTGAGTCAGGGTAAGGAGGTGGGGGCGTGTGTTTGCCAACTGGAGTTGAAGGAGATGGGGGAAAAGGCAGGCAGCCAGCTAAAGACAAAGAGGAGAGAAAGGAATACATATTTTAGGGGAGATTCTATGAGCAAAAGAAAACAGGCCTTCTTCCATAGGGCAGTAATTTAAATAGAAAGAAGCAACTTGGTGACTGTAGTTGGGGAATAAAGAGGAGGAGGAGTGGCTAGAGGTGGGTTGGCCAGTTAGGGGCAGGAATCCTACTGAATTGGGGGTATTGTCGAGAAAGGAGGTGAAAGGTCTGAGGTAGGTAAAACAAAAGGTGGAGAAGAGGAGGGCTAGCTAACCAGGGCCAGGGGGCAGGAAAGGCCCTTCCTATTTCAGAACTTAGAACTCATGCAGAGTTCTGACCTCCAAGGGTGCTGTTTTTTCACCCATCAATCTCATAGTGTGAGCCCATGTATTATGAATGAGGGGCCCGAGTGGGCGATATCCCTCATCACTCCATCCAGGGGGCTTGGGGAAAGCTGTAGAAGCTGTCAGGGCCCTCAAAAGCAGGCATTTGGGAAATAGAGCTGCTGCTAGCAACAGGTGGCAGACTCTCCTCCTCCTCTTTTTGACTGGAAATATGGGACTGTTCCCTAATGTTGTCTTGACTGCTTGCAGGATGCGTATTCCTTCCTATTGTCTGGTGGGCAACAGATGGACATGATCTCATAATATCACCGTTTTTTATTTCAAAGTATAAACTTCCTTTTCCTTTTTTGGTGGCGGCACAACTATCTCCTCCTATTTTTTTTTCCAGTGAAAGTCCATGCCCATGCTTCAGGGGCAGAGGGGGGTGGGAGATGATGCTGCATGCCCCGAGTGCCAAAACAGCTAGTTAAAAACTCTGAGCAAGATGATTTGTTTGTGAAACAAATGAAGGTGACAGAAGCTACAGATGGCAAGGCTACTTACTGCCAAGGAGTCCCCTCCATGTGTTTCTAGATATTATGAGCAGCATGCCGTCCTTTCTTATATTTAAGGTCAACCAAGAATGGTCATAAACAGTCGCATCTCTCATGAAAGATGAATTCTTAGAATCCCCTTTAAGCTAGGCACATGAGCTCTGTCTTTTTTTAGCTGCAGTCTTCTGTGGTCAAGTGCCTTTTGAATGTAGTGCAGTTTTTGTATTGGGTGTCTCTGGAAAGCACAGACGTTCCACAAGAATCCGTTTTATGCTAAGCTTCAAAGGTGAGGACAGCAGCTTTGCCAGGGCAATTTGGCGGTTAGAGAGGATAACAGGGGGATCGGGGCTATTGTTCTAGGCTCAAAAGACCTGCTTGCTGTGGCTAAAGATATCTCATTTTTCCTCCTTTCTGTAGCAATTTTGCTCACCAGTGGAGAGCAAAGACTAAAGAAGAAGTTTCAGCAAAAGATTTAAGCGAGTGTGAAGAGCGATCCCCTTTGTCACATTACAGTGAGTACAGAAGTGTACTTTGTCCATAACTGCTACATACTAGGTATTGACTGTTCACTTGCAAAGCTCTGTGAACAAACCGTGTGGCTAATCTACACCAGGGATGGCCAATTTCTGGATCCTGGAGTGAAGTGCAGCCTGCTGCATTGGATCACAAACTTCGTCATATCATAAACTTTTTGAACCCTGACATTAAGAACTTCACAGTGTTGTCTGTCAGGGGACAAATAAAATGGCTTCAGAAGCTGGATGTGAGCCCTGGATGGCCACTGGGTTACAAACAAATCAACTGTAGAGAAATAGATTTTTAAATATACCAAAAGCTATATGTTCAGAGAGGTGGTGATGCTAGTCTTGTTGTCTGTTGTAGTAAAAAAAAAAAAACAATTAAATCTTGTGGCATCTTAAGGACTAACAAACTTATTTGCATGATCACAAAAGAACTGAAAAAGTGTCCCAGGAAAGTTTATACCGGGAGAAACTTTTTAATCTTGAAGGTGCCACAAGACTTTGTTGTTTTTATTTATTTATTTGATTTTATTTATTTGATTTATATCCCGCCCATCTGGTCTGGGGTCGACCCCTCTGGGTGGCTTCCAATAAGGTGTATACGATAAAACATAAGAATTTTACAAACAGTCCATAACACATACAATAATAAAACAACTAAGAAATGAAAGAAAGAATTAAATATTGACAGGAGGGAAGGCCTGGCCTGAACATGCAACCATGTTTTTAGTTGACTCTTAAAAGTGCCCAGCGTAGGGGCCGCACGAATAACCAGAGGAAGGTTATTCCAGAGGCGAGGAGCTACCGCCGAGAAGGCCCGGTTTCGTGTCCTTTCCTTCCGGGCCTCCCTCGGCGTTAGGCTCCTCAGCCTCACCTCCTGGCTCGTGTGGGTGATCCGAGTAGATCTAGGTGGGAGCAGGCGTTCCGCCAAGTATCGGGGTCCTAAACCGTTTAGGGCCTTATATGTAAGCATTAACACTTTGAAGTCAATGCGGAAACGGATGGGCAGCCAGTGCAGCATGGCCAGAGTAGGAGAGATATGTTGGTATTTTCTCACTTCAGTAAGGAGTCTGGCCGCCGCATTCTGCACCACCTGAAGTTTCCGCATCAGCTTCAAAGGGAGCCCCACATAGAGCACATTACAGTAGTCTAAT